AAGAAACCAATTTTAGCTTTAAAGATAGGTAGCAAAAAAAAAAAAAAGAAAAAAAAAAAGAAACCACTGGTTTTTTGTTTGTTTATTTGTTGTTGTTTTTTTTTTTTAAGGCATCTGCCTTCATTTAGAAGAAATACAAATTTAAAAAGAAACAAAAGAGGGCTAGAGAGATGTCTCAGTGGTTTAGAGCACTGGCTGTTCTTTCAGAAGACCCAGGTTCAGTTCCCAGCACCAACATGTCAGTTCACAACTGTTGTTAATTCCAGTTCCAGGGGATCCAATGATGTCTTCTGAGCACCCATACACACAGGGAAAACACTCATACACATAAAATAAAAATCTTTAATAATACATTATTCTTCAAAAATGAATGAATGAAGCAAGCAAGCATGGGTGGACAAGTGAGCTTTGACCAACTCAAAAGTTTAGACTTACGGGATGACATCTATTTCTGTGACACAGATATGAATACAGCCTAAATTACCAAGAAGCTACAGGTAACACATAATTGAAATGAAAGACAATCTCAACTTCCTAATCATTGTTGAACACATCTCTGGGATAGGTGGCAAAGTAGGTCTTAAGGTAGCCAGAACCCAAGAGCAGGCCAGCATTAGAACTTTCTAAACCCAACCCAATGTGAAAACAATCTGGAAACCTAAGTGACTTTCCATAAACTTAACAAATGAGTGACTTTAAATTAACTCGTTCTTAGGACCTGCAAGAGGGTTCAACAGTCAAAGGCTATCAAAGCATGCTAACTTGATAGCCTGAGTTCAGTCCCCAGAATCCACACAAAGGCAGAAGGGAACCGGCCCCACAAAGTTGTCCTCCAGCTTCACATATTTACACACATATGCACAAATACACACACGCACAAAACAATAATAAATTAAAATTTTTAACCAAATCTTCCACTTTGTAAACATTTTTTAAGATCTATTTATTTCTTTATTACTTATGCAGTGTTTTGCCTGCATGTACACCTGCAAGCCAGAAGAGGGCACCAGATCTCATAATAGATGGCTATGAGTCACCATTTAGGATGCTGGGAACTGAACTCAAAACCTCTGGAAGAGCACTCAGTGCTCTTAACCTCTGAGACATCTCTCCAGCCTACAAATCTTCCAATCATTTTTACATTCAAAATAACTTTTAAAGTATCATTATGAAATTATCTACAGTTGTTTGGACACCGCACCCCCACTCCCACCCCCACCCCCCACCTCCTGAGACAGGGTTTCTCTATGAATCCCTGGCTGTCCTGGAAATCACTCTGTAGACCAGGTTGTCCTTCAACATAGAGATACCCCTGCCTCCACCTCCTGAGTGCTGGGATTAAAGGCATGTGCCACCACCACCTGGCTCCAAGAGTTTTATAATACTCAGAGACATACACAGTCTGGGGGTGGGGAGATGAAGAGTCTAAGCAAGACATGCCTGAAAGGTTTAAGATATTGGCCATGTGGTAGTGGCACACACCTTTAATTCCAGCACTTGGGAAGCAGAGGCAGATGGATTTCTGTGAGTTCGAGGCCAGCCTGGCCTACAGAGTGAGTTCTAGAACAGCTAGGACTGTTACACAGAGAAATCTTGTCTCGAAAAATCAAAAGACTGTATATTAATGTCCTTATTTTGGTAAATATATCCTGAGTATAAGTCACCAGAAATGTGCTTTAAATGTGAGTTCCTCACTGACCAAATCATGCTAGCATTCTTTTTTTTTATACCTATCTTTATACCTGACTTACCAATTCTTGTTAATAGTCATCAAGATCACTGTTTCTCAACCCTTTACAAATTCTCAAATGCAGTTAAAAAGTACTTACCTGAATCTGAATAGGAAGGTTATCTTTGACTGTATTTAGCAGGGTTTCCGTGGGTTTGTCTTTGCACATTAAAACCAGCTCCAAGTCCATATCATCTTTAATCAGCAAGCCTTTTGCAACCAAGCCAATCCTCATTACACCACACAATGTCCGGCCACCTTGATCCCTACAAATAAAAAGCCTGTATTATTATTTCTATAACCTATTTCTCAAGCTACAATTAATCATCACTTGGCTTCCTGAATACTTACATAAATAAACTATTATGTACACCCAGACATCCAAAAATCTACAAATTAAACCTCAGATTTAAGGCTCTCACATTTAAAGTTACTTTTCCCTAAAGACTGAACAAGGATCATATGTCACACTATAGGTATTTTAATTCATTATGACATCTCTTACTCAAGAATCCCAAGAATACTGTAACCCCTCCAACATTTTTTAACTGCTGTTTTTTAAACTTCTGTAATTTTTAGCAATAAACTAAAGAACCTATGAGAAAGACTGGGGGAAATGGCTCAGTGGGTGAAGTGCTTGCCATACAGTATGATGACCTGAAATCTAATCCCCAGCACCCACAAAAACACTGAGTGCAGGAACACTGGGGACGCAGCTATGGGAACATTCCCTGGTGGTTGGTGACTAGTGAGAGATGTTTTAAAATATTTTAAAGAATGTAGAAGAAAGAGAGAGACAGAGAAAGAAAACCCAACATCAATCTGTGGCCCCAACATGTGAAGCACACACGCCATGTACTCACACATGCACATACACACACCACAACACTATCCCAACACACATTATAAATAAAATTATTTTTTTAAAGTAACATGTCAATGCCTGAACTTAAACTCAGGAAAGCTGACCATAATACTCAGGCACTTTACATTCTGTGGTTGCTTCTCAAGGAAACTGTTACAATTAGAGATGGCAAGCAAGGTTTGATTTGGCTAGACTAGAGGGGTGCTGTTTAGAAGCAAGGAATCACCAGTTAGTCAGAAATAAGTGAAGTTGAGAATGAAATGAAGAAGAGAGTATATTGTGGTGCAAACTAGACAGGAAGTTAAAAATTAACTAGCTACTCAGTGCCTAAGCCATAGGGAAGATTCAATAAACAAAGATAGTGCAAGTTGAGATGGAGATAAGTGCAAGCAACTGTTAAGACTCTCTCAGTCATCTTGGGTTGTTCCTTACTCTACTGTCTCACCCTCTCTGGGTTCCTAATGTGTCCAGTCTGGTCTGCATAATCATCCTCAAAAATTTTGCCTTCAAAATAGTGTTGTGGTGTGTGTTTGTGCATGTGTGAGTACATGTTCAAGTTCTCAACTAGACTATTTGAATAACTCCTTCCTTATCAGCCTTACCTCTAGCACCTTTCATCTATTCCATGCAGAATACTATATAACCTCCCAAAACTGTTCTTTTGGATGACATCCCATGTATTTCCCTTCATGTCCCTCAGAACATTTCAACATTCAACACAGTAGTAGGCAGTCTAGAAAACTTCCTGGCTTCCTGGTTTGCATCTTGGCTCTATTACTGTGTGAGAAGGTGCTGCAAGCCGCAGGAAATCGTAATGAAATTCAGCTACTCTCACAAAAGCTACTACTTGGAAAAGCCAAGGACTTCTCCAAAGGTCAAGCCATGGCTTAAGAAGTCTTGGTGACGTTGCTCGACCAGGGGATTGCTATTGTTTGGGTTTATAACGGGATTCCTGGGAGACTTAGGAGGAACGTGGAGAACTTAGAGACGGAGAACGGAGAGGGATAAGGAGGATTTTGACCAGAGAGAACGTATGGATGAGATGGAAGATGAGAAAGAGTCAGATGGGGAAGTACTAGCTGGGTAAGAACTAGATGAAAAGGACCTAGATGAGGCAGAATTAAGACAAGAGACTTAAGATAGAACTTAGAGGAAGCAGCAGATAAACATAGAGAGAAATCAGGCAAGGAAGGAGCTAGGCACAAGAACAGAACTGAAACTGCATAAATAGGATGTTATGCCAGAGGAATTAAAGCAAGTGGACTATAGAACTCGGTGTGCTGAGATTCTATTTCCCAAAAACAGTCTTCACTGTTCACAGTTTCTCTCCTGAGCCCCTGGGAAGTATTAATATTAAGGCTGGTCCCTCTAATATTATACAAGAAGCAGGGATGAATTACACATACTTGATTTCTTTGAGCCTGCTTCCTTCTCCATAAAACAAGACTAAACCTTTTCTCATATAGCAATTCTCATAGAATTCAATGTAAGCAAGGAACTTTGTCAGAGGTTCAACATATATTAAAACCTCAGTAAATAATTTTCTTAAATGTTTCTTAAACAGTCCCTATGGCTATTTCACATCTAAACCTTTGCTGAGATTTTTGCTTTTGCCTTCACTGTTACCAAAACCCTACCAGATCCTCTGAGCCATTTCCAAATACTACCTCCTTAACAAAGTCTTCCTTTTTCTTCCCCCGCCCCTTGTCTCTCCCTACCCCTTTCTTTTAAGACAAGCTTTCTCTGTGTAGCCCTGGCTGGCCCTGTAGACTAGGCTAGCTTCAAATTCAGAGATCCACCCGCCTCTGCCTCCCAACTGCTAGGATTAAAGCTTTTTCTGATTACCAGAAACAAGAACATTTTATCTCTCCCTCCTCTGTACTTTAATTTATCTAGAGGAAACTGAAGCACAGATACGAAGAAAAAATGGATGAGATATAGCTGAATGGTAGAGTATTTGCCTCGAATGCTCAAGTCTACTCCTAAGTAAGGAAAACAGGAAGCAAGGGGAATCTGGAAGGCAGAGACTACTTTTGCCAACACACACACACACACACACACACAGAGACAGAGGGGGGAGGGAGGGAGTACAGAGTAATCTTCAAGTTAAAATTCATTAATGTCTCTGAGTTAACTCTCTTCATTAGCAAATGTAAAATGGTGGAAATTTAATAAGCAAAATGTCAGCATAAAAAAGAGAAACAATAGTAACAGACTAGTTGGTTTATTGAAAGATAATATGAAAAATGATCTGGACTAGTAGGTAGCACACAGTAAATGTAAGTAGCCATTGTTAGCTCACTTCTTAAATTCTAAATCATAACCATGAAATGTTTGATCTTACATCCCACATGGTTGAGCAGAGAAATTAATCCCTAATTCAAAAGTCCTGAACTTAAATAATGAATTTGAATTTAACAGTTACTGGAAAACAAGCAAACCAATACAATAAATTAGTTAGAACTGAGAAAACAGTTCTAACATTGCTAGTCATGTAAATTGTGAGACCTAGCGCCCTGGAGTCAGACTGTAAAAAGGTAAACAAATCACAAACAGCAGCTCTGCACAAGTGTCTGACACTAGACTGTGCTTAACAAAGTTCTGCCTGTCTCACTGATTTTCATGCTCTTTGTAACACTTATAGACCAGGAGCCCAAATACGGGAGTACATAGAACACAGTTCTAAACCTAAAGACTTATCAGCCCCTGATTCATCATAGAGTAAGAAAGAGATCTACTCTGTGCTCCTTGAGTCCTACCAAGAAATCACAGATAAGCACTCAACCTGGGGTTTTTCCACAAATGCAAAGACTTTACACAGACAAAAAGGAGTGTCTAAACATAAAGCTGTATTTTAAAGACTGAATGAAACTGTGGAGCACATATTCTTTTAAAAGCATTTAATTAAAGCATAGTAACTTCATCTAAATAAGCAAAATGTCTGAATGCTTTCTAAAACTATGTCAATCTCAAAAAAAAATTAGAAGATCCATTTAAAAGGTACAAACTTCCATGAAATATATACTCAAAAATAATATAAGAGTAGGAAGAGGCATGTTATAAAATATGTATAAAACCCTAATTTTTCAAAATTTTGAAAAAGCAATATAAATGCTGCAATTTAAATCTGGAAACCATTAATGACTTAACTCGCATAGGAACTATAATATATACAACAAAGAGCCAAGTATAAGTATATAGGTCCCTAGTAATCCAGTCATTGGAAAATACCATTAATTAACATGAGCCCCAAATTAAAGAATTACCATTTTAAAGCATCTTATTTGAGAAAAACTGGATTTGTTACAAGAACCTACAAACTGAGACACAATCCAAACTGTACACATGTGTACAGTTACATGTAACAGCAGCTGTCATGCTCTTCAGCATGAAGCTCACTGCTTATCTTTGAGATGAAGAGGAAAAGCCTGCACTATCTTTCAGTACAGACCATCCATTCACCAATTTTCTCCTACTCTTCCTTGTCTACTTACCACAGTGATGTAAACAGAACTGAAAGCTGGAGGGAAATTCTGAAGCCTTTACTTTCCATTTATATAAGCCAAGACTAAAGTAATGTTTTTAAACCTATAATTATGGTATAACCGATCAAATAAACTTCATTTTCCACAGTAGGTAGAGACTTACTCTAATCACAGTAACAGGGCTCAAAACAGTACCTCCAAACTGGCATGACATAGAATCTCATGATCTGACTGCAGGCAGCACTGTGGTTTCATCTTATGGATCGCTACTATTGCTACCTTACAACACTTCTCATGTAACTGTTAGAAGGCCAGGCTTCCATTAGTCCTTCCTTCTACAAATATACAAAATGAACATTAACATTATGTAACAATGTGCAACAAAGATATTGATATGTTCTGTGAATTAACAAGGTAAAGATAGTTAACGCTGCTAGTCTATTTTCCTATATTCTTCTAGACCATGATTTCAAAATGTCTGACACAAATGGTAGTTTTTGCTTTGTTTTGTTTTGAGACAGGTTCTCACTATGTAGCCCTGGCTGTCCTGGAACTCACTGTGTAGACCAGGCTGGTTTCAAAGTCACAGCGATCCAGCTGCCTCTGTCTCTAGAGTGCTGGGACTAAAGGCGTGCACCACCATGCCCCAGCTATAAATGGTTAATTTTATTACTTTCTTGAAATAGAAAACATTACTATTTTTTTCTAGAACTTAGGAGGCTAAAACAACAGAGCAAATGACCTGTCATAACCTTCAAACATTGGTGTCCTCTCAAAAGGGGTCCTGGAGGACCATCTTCTTTTTTCATCTACTCATGGGTTTCCTATAGAATGTAACTCAGAAAAAAAAACGCCATGAAACATTGACTTCCTTGGTTATGCCACATATAACAAAATTCAAAGAACAGCAAGCACATCACCAACTCAACAAGACCCACAAGTTTTTTCTGAGCAAAGCTTGATAAAAGCTATTCGACACTCACTTGGAATAGTTTTCCACAGCCTCATCTTTCTTTACTTCTGTCTCCCCCTCAGTTTTTGTGCCTTTATTTGTTTCATCCAGCCAATCTGAGACATGTTTAAGAGCACATTCAACAGTAGACACCATATTTTGAACAGCTTCAAGTTCCTCCGGAGATGGATAGATTGTTGAATGTTTCACCATAACATGGCGATCGTCATTGGCAAAAGATCTAATAGATCTCTGTCAGAAGGGGGAGGAAAAAAACTTTAACAAAAGAAATGTCACCTTGAAAGAATAACAACATAAGTGTTTTAAGTCAACATAGCACCAACCACTGTAAAGCAGTTAATAAAATTATGCTCATGAATGGAAAGTAAAGTCCTATTTTATTAAACCATACCCAAAAATAGGAGTTATTTCACTCATGTGATGATAGGGTTCAAATCAGTCACACTAAACTCTGTACACACTATGTCTTTTGGCTGAACCTGTGCTTTCTGATTACCCCTACCCAAAAAAAAAAAAAATCAAGCCATCATCCATATCAAATAGCTCATGAGATTGTAGCCTCAAGAGTCTCTAGAAACTCTGTGGTGGTGGTGCCACATGTCTTTAATCCCAGCACTCAGGAGGCAGAGGCAGGCGGATCTCTGTGATTTTGAGGCCAGCCTGGTCTACAGGGTGAGTTCCAGGACAGCCAGGGCTGCACAGAGAAACCCTGTCTCAGAGAAGGAAAAAGAATATCTAAAAATGAATGATGGTGATTCACACATGACACCTAGCCACCTCCCAAAGTGCTAGACATTCTCAGACCTTTAATTAAGACTGTATAATACAGTAACAATAGAAGATACAAATTTATAATGTGAATATGGAAAACCCTTCGGTAATGCTTAGTATTTGACATCAAATCGTTGGTGCAAGCCTTTAAACAAGAAGCAATCCAAATTTCATAATGGTGAAAATATGAATTCCAAAGCAATCAACTTCCCCAGCTAATTAACACATGTATTGCATTCACGATCAAAATCACGAAAGGTTTATCCAATAAGCTCCAGATAAACATGTTTAAGTATTAAGATAATTAGATCAGAAGAACTATAAAATAAAACAGAAAAATGATTGTTCAAATCTTAAAACTCAGAAGCAGCAATAAAAAAGAAAAATGATTAATCAAATTAATTAAAACACAAAATTTCTACAAACATCTACACTAAAATTAAAAAAAAATAAAATAAACTATAAAAGAAAGTTTTATATGTGTATATGTATGACATTAAGTCATAGGTCTATAAAGACTACAAGTAAAGCCAAACTAAATTCTGTTACAAGCAGTTAATTCACAAGGAAGGCAACACAAGTCACACTGTTTTTTCTGTATTTCACCAAAAAAAAAAAAACAAAAAACAAAAAAACAAAATCAAGTTAACATTTTTCCCCCCCATACTGAAATATTACAGAATTTCTTCTCTGTAAAAGCAAATTACCTGATTTTAGACCTTGGCAAAATACTTTTTAAAAGCAAATTAACACTTAAAGAAATACTACCATACACTAAACAATATATTTCAAAATACACTGGTAATTATCATTTTATGCTTTTTCTCCTAACTTACATCTTTTAAAACCTCTTACTTGAGGGAGAAAATTTACACAGTATCCTCTAGAACTACAATATGAAGGGGAAAACTCAGTAAATCTTATCCTAGGCACCAGCTGATAAAGGCACCTGCAACTAAGTGTCTTGAGTTTGATCCATAGCACTCACATAGAAAAAGAAGTGACCCATTTCTGTAAGCTGTCCTCTGACCTACACATACATGCCACGGCATGCAAATTCACACACACACACACACACACACACACACACACACACATACATGCCACGGCATGCAAATTCACACACACACACACACACACACACGCGCGCGCGCGGGTGCGGGAGCGGGCGCACACAATACACAAAAATGTAATTTAAAAATTTAAAGACCAGCCTTTAATCCCTCAGAGAGGCAGAGGCAGGTGGATCCCTGTGAGTTCGAGGCCCGCCTGGTCTATAGAGCAAGTTTCAGGACAGGCTTTAAAGCTACACAGAGAATCTCTGTCTTGAAACAAAAAAAAAAAAAATTAAGACCAAGACACCAGAGATAATCACTTCATCTAACACCATGAATTCAAAGTCTGAACTCTCACAAAAACCAAGCTTCCTTGACATTCACTCTAACACTCCTTAGTATATTCAACAATTAATCCTATTATTTTAAAAGCATGTAAAAAGGTACTTTTAGAGTTAAAACATTCATGTTTTAGAAACTCCTCCACAATTCATGTGTACAAGTTATTTAATTTTCATGAGAAAAAAATCTGGACTTCATGTAAAAGTCTAGATAGAAATTATTTAAAGTTCAAGGTTACTGAGCTATAGTGATTTGTTAATGCCAGTTTTATTATAAAATACTATTTATAAACATTCCTACTCTTTGTATTTAGTGAGTTATGGCATACAGTAGCTTGGGCTCTAAAATGTGGTTTCTAATCATTTTTTTAAGATTTGTTTATTATTAATTTCATGTATGTGGGTGCTTTGCCACACAGCATGTATGACTGTTCATCACACACATGCAGTACCCAAAGAAGCCAGAAGAGGGCATTGGATCCTCCAGAACCAGAGTTAGAAATGGTTGTCAGACACCATGTGCTTACTGAGAATCCAATCTAGGTTCACTGCAGGAAATGCTCTTAACCTCTCTCTGAGCCACCTCCCAGCTCCCTCTAATCTTTTCCAATGATTAAAAAAGTCTGACAACCTGAGTTTGATCCATAGGACCCACATAGTAGAAGGGAGAGATCAACTTCTCTTAAGTTGTCCTCTGACCTTCATACACACACCATGTTAAAAAAAAGTATAGTAACCATATTTATCTGAGGCACTGAAACCAAGACAACTGTTCACTAACTACCTTTACTGTTAACATTTCCAATTTTACACTACATAATCTTTTATAACTAAAAAAAATGAAAGAAATACCAGTCATTACTCACCATGGTTTCCTATGGTATTTTAACTTCTTTTTCCGATCCTTCTCTCTCTTTCTTGTCGTCTTCACTAGACACTGTTTTGTGTGACAATAATACCTCCTCATATGCCTGAATCCCCTGACTGCTCAGTGTCAAATATGAGCAAAGATGTTTGAAAATTGTTCTCTGGATTACACCTGCAAGAAAAAAGAAAAACACCTTTTCAGCTTGTCTACAATTAGTTTCAAATCTAAAAGTGGAGCCCATAAACATAATCCATGTTGATTTCAAAGAAACAAACTTTACTGACAAAATTTGCCTTATTTCTTTTATTATTTATTTACTTATATTTATGAGTGTTTGTATCTCTGTGTTTATGTGGGTACTCAGGGAAGCCAGAAGATAATGTTGGATCCCTTGGAGTTAGAAGTAGTTCCAAGCCATGTGCTGTGGAATATTTAACTATGTAAAGATGTATTACATTTGTTTATGTTGCAGAACATTACTTTAACTGTGTAAAGAAGGTGTGTTACATTTGTTTCTGCTGCCTTTGTTACCGATGTAAAGTTGTGTTGCATTTGTTTTACCTTGCCTTCATAAGGTACCTGATTGGTGTAATAAAAAGCTAAATGGCCAATAGCCAGGTAGAGAAAGGATAGGCAGGGCTGACGGGTACAGAGAATAAACAGGAGGAAAAAAAACTAGGCTTGAAAAGAACAAAGAGGAAGAAAGAAAGGGATGTGCCTGAGGCAAGAAGCCAGGCAGCCTCCGGCCAGACACTAGAAGCAGTGAAAGTTAAGATATACAGAAGGAAGGTAAAAAGCCCTGAAGCAAAAAGTAGAAAAAGAGAAACAAGTTAATTTAAGTTAAAAGACCTAGCCAGGGGCTGGAGAGATGGCTCAGAGGTTAAGAGCACTGACTGCTCTTCCAGAGGTCCTAAGTTCAATTCCCAGCAACCACATGGTGGCTCACAACCATCTGTAATGAAATCTGGCACCCTCTTCTGTATACATAATAAATAAATAAATCTTAAAAAAAAAAAAAGACCTAGCCAGAAAGGAGCTTAAGCTAAGCAGAGCATTCATAACCACTAAGTCACTGTGTTGTGATTTGGGAGCTGGTTTGGTGGCCCAAAAAAAGCAAGCCTGGTACATATATGGATGCTAGAAATTGAACACAGTCCTCTGGAAGAACACTACTTGTTCTCAACAACTATGTCATCTCTGGAGCCTCTTTCCCCCGCCCCCCCCCTAAATAATTACATTATCTCAAACAAAACTGGCCCAGGTCTAGAAGTGTAAGGGATATGGGCAGAAAAAAACAACCCTCCTGGTATTTACAGTGTGGTAACTGAATCCCTAGCCCTCCTTGACAAATGTATTTGCAAAGGCAGACAGACTCTCACTAAAGAGTCACTACCTAAAAAGGCAATACTGCTATAGGTGGCAACAATGCTTCAACTAACCAGATTTACAATAAAAAATTGATACTTTGTCAGACCTGCATGAAAATTCAATGAGTAGAGCATCTTAATCCATCATGATACTTTCCCACTTAATACTGCCATTAGGCTGACAGTACATGTTGGCATAATGTTTATCCTTTTAGTCTTTTGTTTTCAGGACTAAAATTCAAAATACCCTTCTGGCTCTGTGCCTTAACTCCTTAAAGAGACTGGGGGGGGGGGGGCGCGCACGAAACCATAAACTCAAGCATTCCCTTGACCTGTATATATTCATGCCCCGACTTGAAACCCCACTAGAGTTTGGCTTCATTACTTCATTACTTCATTACTCCTGGATATCCACTCTCCACTCCCCTGGATTGCCTGCCAGAAGCCTTAATAATCACTCTGCTACCCATGTTAGTTCATGAGATTTTATTTTACTACAGGAAAGAAAAAAATAAATTCTGAGTGTGTGGGTAGAATATGCCCCAGCTATATAATCAAACGACTAGGTCAAGACAGATCCCAGGCTTTAACAACGCAGCTATCAGAATAAGAAAGCTACAGAAGATGCAAAAGAAATAGCTTCCTCTTCATCTAAACAGTAGTCTTTAAGTTTGCTTCAAATATGAAAACCTTCTCAGTATTACTGTCAGCAATAGGTTCTTAATATTATTATAGTTGCTCTCTTAAAGAAAGACATTTAGCCGGGCGGTGGTGGCGCACGCCTTTAATCCCAGCACTCGGGAGGCAGAGCCAGGCAGATCTCTGTGAGTTCGAGGCCAGCCTGGGCTACCAAGTGAGCTCCAGGAAAGGCGCAAAGCTACACAGAGAAACCCTGTCTCGAAAAACCAAAAAAAAAAAAAAAAAGAAAGACATTTAACGCCACTTAATATTTACATGAAAACAGACCTACAACTGAATTCAAGCGGCACTCTGCTATGACCTACATTCATAACTATTCCTATCTTTCAACCAACCTGTTTCACAAAATCTCCCTGAAATAAAAGAAATTTTGACAGAAAGAGACACAGACACACACATGACAAGTTGAAATAAAAGTGTGATTACTGCACATATCATATGAAGACGAGATTGCAAGAGCAGTACTAAAACATTTCTTGGAAAGAGGTATCTCAAAAATGTTCTTTTCACTAAATCTTTAACATTCATATAAAATCCATGTAGTCTTCAGCACCTCCCATTCTAAACACTATCTTATTCTAAGGGAGTCCACCATTCATTATGTAGCTGTGAATCTAGTAGCTACCAAGATTGCTTTATGTTCAGTAAGAACTCAAAGTTCACAGGCTGGAGAGATGGCTCACCAAGTAAAAGCTAGGTTCACAACCAAAAACATATCTGAACAAACTGAAAGCAAAAAAAGCAAGAACAACATGACAAGAAAACTTCTGATGTTTCAAAGGAACCCTGACTTGGTCAAGGTTTACACAGAGAACAACTCCTCTGCACACACAAGAACCTCTGACAACTTCACAGTATAACAACATATACAGTAATTCATAATAAAAGCAGTGTCTACAGATCTGGGGAGCGGCTATAAATGAACTCATAAATCTCATTCAACTTCACACTGTTTACAAATGAACAGAATAAAAATTTAAGGTCGCACTACTAACCAGATACAAGGCATGTACATCATGTCTTACAGGCAGGTCCAACATGGGTCACATGCAGCCAGTGACAGCTACAATTACAGTCCAACACACATAAGCTTACTTAAAACATTAAATTTTTGTGAACTTTTTTCATAACTCAACTGTGTGGGTTTTTTTTTCAAGCATGAACTTTGTAAATGACATTATCATGTCACAAAGTCAAAAGTTTGGGCACATTCAAAAGAATCTAAGTCATAGCCCAAGGCTTTTGCCTCACTTTGTCAATCTAATTTTAAGAGGAAAAAAAGGAGAAATCGGGTTAGGAGGGACGAGATGACTTAGCAGATAAGGGCACTGGCTATTCTTCCAAAGGATCTGGGTTCAATTCCCAGCACCCATACAGCAGCTCATAACCATCGACAGCTCTAGTTCCAGGGGATCCAGTGCACTCTTCTGGCCTCCATGGGCACCACATGTGATCACGATACATGCAAGAAAAACAAAGTAATTTTTTATATTTAAATAAATATAAAATAAATAAAACAAAGTTATATTTAGTACAATCTAAGCAGCCAGGAAGAAATAATAAAATGTTTTTCAAAGTTTATCTTTTTTTAAAAATAGTCAATTTAGTGGTTAAAATTCTGGCCTTGAAACTAAAAGTAAAAAATAAACTGCAAGCCAGTGAAGTAGTGCACTCCACTAACCCACTCAGCACTGAGGAGACAAAGAGGAGGCTGTGTGTGCAGGCATTCATGTGTGTCCACATGCATGTGGAAGCAAGGGGACAAATGCCCTTCCTTCAGATACTTTCCATGTCCACATATTTTGTTATTTGTGTTTTGGGGACCAGGGTGTTCCCCCCTTTGGAAATAGGGTCTTGGCCTGGAAATCACTAATTAAACTAGGCCAGCTGGCCAGTGAGTTCAATCTCTGGGACCCACAGAGTAAAAGATTCTTTCCCACAAGCTGTGCACACATGAACACATGCACATAGACTAAAAAATCCGGGAATGGTGGCCCACACCTTTAATCCCAGCCCTGGGGAGGCAGAAGCCTCTGAGTTGGAGGCCAGCCTTGTCTACAGAGAAAGCTACAAAAACCCTGTCTCAAAAGCTCTTCTCACTGCCCCAGGATAATATTTAGTGATTCACTGATAGATGTTCAACCCTATTTCTGTCACAAATCTTTGAATTTTAATAACCACAAAAGTGGTTCTAAAAGTCTGGCATGTTACTTTATATTCCTGTCCTCTACAGATCTCATTTTCTTTTCTATTTTAGATAACTACTCCTCACCAGGCCAGGACCTACAGTCTAACCTGATTGATTACCATTTTTTCACAGTTCCTCCTCCTTTTCAGACCCTCACTTTTATCTAATTTTACCTAATTCAAATTTTGCAATCTATCATTTGCAATTCACATCAGCAATTCCTTTCCTCACCTGACAAAATAGCAGCCCTGGTTAAATCCAATCCTCTTGGCTCCAAAGCCAGTAACCTTGGGCAGCTGAAAACAGGAGAGGCTCCAGTGTCAGCAGCAAGCGAATCTTCTTTTTTATCAACAGCTTTAACCTTCAAAGACTCAACAAGGAAGAGCTCCCTCAAATAAAGGTGGTGCTACACCCTTGGGGGGGGGGGAATTTAAAATGCTAATCTGTGGCTAGAGACCCAAGTACTAAGCTTAAAGAGGAGGAATTCAGATCCCTGCACCTGCATCAGGCAGCTCACCCCCACCTGTGAGCTCCAGAGAATTCCAGGTCATCTATCTTCTGGCCTCCACAGGCACACACATATGCATGTGCACAAAAACACACACTTTTTTTTTTTTTTTTTAAAGAAAATGCTGTTTCCTATTGTGATGTCCTGGCATTTGGAAAAACAAGATCCCTGGTGGTTACCAGCAACCTAAGGCTCTAGATGTGCTTCAGTGTTCAAGGACTGCCCAAGCTAAGAGGCAAATAAGAATCCTCATTAGTAAACCAAATTGTTCAACTTTTTCACTTTTTTTTATTACATTTTTATTTACTTGGTGTAAAGGGGGAAAGGTGTGCATATGCCACTGGATACACGTGAAAGCCAAGAGTTGGTTCTCCCCTTCTACTATGTGGGTCTTGTATAGCTCAACTTT